CGTTAACTTCATCCATCCTAATACGGTTTAAGTTTAATTTCTGAAAAACCAAATATGCACAAAAATAAAAAAAATAGCATACATTTGGAGAGAGAAATATTGAGAGCAACAGCAGTCTTGGATAACATTTAGCTTTAAATGTCTAGTGGTCAATTCCTAAAAGTAGTATTCTTCGAACATTGGATACTGCACGCGTATCATTTCACAAACAAAGTGCTTCCCTAAATCCCTTCTTGCCGCTAAAAAAAGTTACAAATAAACCGAACATTAGAAAGTTGCAATATAAATGAAAACAAATGTTAAATACTCTTGTTTATTACTGCATTTGATGAACAAACTGAATTAAAATGTCTTGTAAAATAAAAAAAAGTAGCTTTTGCATTACATGCAACATTATTTTTTCGATGACACTAATACGCATGTGCAGTTATTGTTATTGTACACACGAGGACAATCAGTACATGCGTATTGGAGAATTTCACGAACAACTTTTTTTTCAGTTCGTGATTAGTCATAATATGTATTCAACATACAGTTTCTAACAGAAATCCTAACAATTACAAGTTGTCATCTTATATTGCATTTAAAGTGAATACGATATATCAACAAAGTGCATCCGATGTGAATAAATCACTTACCTTGTCCGTTTCATCAACGCGACCAGCTGCGACATAATTTTTAATGTCGTCCAGATTTCCATCCCTAACAATCTTCGAAATGAAAAAGAAATTACATTATTTTTTTGAATCAGTGAATACCAACAACCCTAAAACGAAATGTCGGCTTGTAAAATTGTTGACGAATATAAACTGCTAATACAAAATAAAGAAAGAAGTTATTTAATTTTAGAAACTATCATATCTAATATATGTTATTATGTTGACACAAAATTGGCTCAGAATCCATTAAAACACATATTATATCCGATAATAATGGAAATATGATAAACATGCATATAATCGATTTTTTAATTCGGTTATTGACTCAAATCATCTCGAAAACGCAATAGCACTGAGATTATGTGTGTACGTGTGACTGACATGTGTTCAAATCCCGGACGACTTTTATTTATGGGATGCAATAGTTGGCACAGATGATTCTTCCTCAATATTCTCGAGAATCTTTCATAATTCTGTAAACAAAACTGAATTATTCATACAATAACCAGTTAACCCACCAAAAGGCCGTTATTACGTAACAAAGCATTTATCATCGATTGACCCCTTAACACGTCATTAGTTTGTAACCGTAAAGCAATGTCATTAGTAGTTAACATCTAAATCAAAAAAGTTATTCTTCTGTAAGTATGTGATACCATTACTAGTAATCCCCCTTAAAAGTTACATAGCATTTAACATTGCAAGTAAAACAACAAAAAGAACTCAATTTGGTTAAAAAAAAACCTTCATTTGTCAATATGCTCAAGAGGTCAATATTCTGTATTCTGTAATATTCTATTCTCGGCCCGGTGGCCGAGGGGAAGACGTGTAGTGGCGTGAAGCTAGGCGATTAGGTGCCGTACGCGAGCGCCGGTGCGAGTCACGCACGCAGTACGTATTTACTATAATTAGACATAGTCTTTACCTTGCCGTTTATTCGGTGTTATTTGCTTACAATATTCTGTAACAGTTTTGTGGGTTTAGTTCTTATTGTCAGAAGTGCGTGTCTGTTTAATTTGATCGTATACCTATCTGACTCCATGACATCTGCATAACAATGAGTCTATACTTTTCCGAAAAGATAATTTCAAAGTCATGGCGGAAGACCGTGTGAGAAAATTACTCGCATGTGAACATTAGTGGACAGACTATATCTGATGCGCTGCAACCACCAAACCAGGATAAAAACTGATTAAATTAAGATTGTTGTGAGATTATTTCGTTATACTTTTCGCCTTTAATCGCAGCATTCCCACGAGATCAACCAATGAATACAAATACTACAGTAAACACCAATTGTGGCTACGCTCCGCTTAGGTATTACTTGTAGTAATGTCAAATAAAACAAATACAAATAAGAATAAATATAATTAAAAAAATCCCACAAAAAAATCACATTCTTATAGGATAAAAATGTTTCAAAATATTAACGTTATGACAAACATGGCTTATATCGATAGTTATTAGTCGTGTTCAGACGACACAAAGGTCGGGTAGCCTGACAAGGTCGGTGCTCCAAACGCAATGCAGTTAGTGGAGTCTGATGTTGTTCGGTCTGAGAGAGTGGCGCTCACGCCTACATGTCAGACTAAAAGGTAGGCTAATTGTATAAGTTTGCATATCGGCTAAAATAAACTCGTAAACAAAATAAACTCGTAAAAATGTAATTCGAAGAATTCAGCATCTCCTGCGAAACTGTTTGTGACGTTTTTTACGAAAGAAAAATTGCCAGTCGGTCAAAAGAAAAAAGGGATCCTCGTATCTACTTTCTGGACAAAATCAAAACATGCACCGTTAAGAACATATACAAATAAAACAACTACCACTTCGTGACTCGTTCTCTGAATAACTTTATATCGATACCATATCCACTGTTGTAGGACAACTACGAGAGTAACCGGACTACATGCTTTATGAAGATGATGGTTATCATAGGAATGATGTTGATTAATAAGCTGACATGGAAATATATCTGAACTGCCTTTGATTATAATAAACGTGAATTCATATGTTAATTACGTACTGTAATTGAGCAGAACAGTCTTTTCTCGTTATTGAAATGTATGCGATGTGAATCGCTAACAAAGACTCGTAATTTTTAGGTTTCTTTTCGCTCTGT